AAAAAAAAGTTAAAAAAAATAGCAGGCTTTGCGATTTGATAATCGAATCATTTAAAATCGCGATTTCGATTTAAAATCGATTAATCGTTCAGCCCTAGACACAATCATTTATTTTTCGATCATATACACTACAGCATTTAATATAAATGGTATGGGAATCTATACGTGGTGTAATGAATGGGGAAAGCAACATTATTCTGGTGTGACTAATTTCTCTGGTTCTCCTTCTATTCCATCAAGACCAGATGCAACAGCACTTTGTACCAGTGTTGTGGGTTGGATTTTGCCTTCACTCCAAACAGCTTTAGGCTACATATCTGAAAGATGTGATGTAGTACAGCACTTTGATTAAATTGGCTGAAATGTGAGAGACATATTTGATCAAGAATGTTAAAAATAGAAGCAGCAGAGACTTTAAGTCAGTATTTAAGTCAAGTTCCAAAAATACACTGAATCCACCATTTCCCATATTGCATTTCAGCATCATCACATCTCTCAATATCCGGCCTTTCACACTCAGCACCAGCAGGTTGTGATGAGGCCTTTCTCTTATAAGCCTGTGGTCTCCAGCCTGTCTGTGCCAACATGAGATGGAGCTAGCAACAGACCCTGATCCTGTCTGTTAGAGGGAGCCTCTCACCTGAACCTGGAACTCAGCAGGGTCTCCAGCCTTTTCAGGCATTTCTTACCAATGTTTCTGCCCCCATCTCTTAATAACAATGAAGTACATTTATAAATGTCAGGATTAGCATGAATGTTTCCTTAGTTCACGAAATGGCCGTTCTAGTCATCCTGCCCAAGGGGTTCTGCATCCAACTGTACCTTCTAACTTTAGAAGCAATCACGCCACTCCTAAAATGTGGCTTGAGCCGAGGCTACAATTTTGGCAACATTTTTTTCTCCATCTCTGAAAAGCTTTGACAGTATTGTCTGACTCTCTATTTAATGTGTATTTAGTGTAGAGAGTTGTTGCCTTTGCTTCTTTTCAGGATATTCTTCAGGCTTTCAACTATGGATGTGCACAGTCATCTAAATTCAGCCAATAGGAAGGCTATTTATCTGAAATGACTTGCGATTGGCTTGAGTTTCTATCACTGAGAGCAGAACCAAGGAGGTACAGCAGTCTAGTTTTCTTTCAGTACAATTCAATTACAATATTATTACAGATTTTTGTAGTTTTTCATCTGTAATAATTTGAAGCCAAACATATGTTGCCTAACTCAGCCTTAATTTGTTTGTTTAAGGGTGTAGACATTATGTCCAGATAGTTGGCGCCATCATTTGGCCAGAGGTTTCTTCCCTTCTTTGCTGTCAAGGGTTCAGAAAACTGCCACTATACATCTCTTTATAGGTTGAATTGTTCAAGTATGTTATACTTCTAGCCAGATTGCAATCAGTGGTATCACTGCAGAGGTTTTAAATTGCGGTCAAATGTAAAACACACCTTGTGACATCCTTAATGACCTCAGCACCTTGCGTTCCTTTATTTGGTCACGTTACTGCTAAGTCACTCTTTAGAGAAGTAACCTGCTGTTGTGTATCTGTTCCATCTTGTAAATGTCAGTTATGTTCTCAGCAACAGTTACTCTATATACAGGTAATGAGGGTGTATCCTTTAAGGTTAATGGTGACAGGTTAGGTTAGGTATATATAAGGTAAGTACAGTACGTGTCCTGGCCTTGTCTTGAATCCAAGTGTTGTCATCACTTCCCGTTGTGACAAACTGACAACCTATCAGAATCTGGATTTTCCCTTAAGTTAATAACTAATACAACTTTAGTTAAGACACTTGTGTGGCTTGTTAGACATAACAAGATCTTGTAAACAAAGTTGATAAAAAGGGCAACTCAGGCTAAATGCACCAAGGAGAGAAACTCTTCTTTGTTCTGGGAAACCTCAGTCCTGATCACATGGTTTAAAGTCTCATGCATCAGCAGCCTATCAGAAATGAGAAACTAACCTGTCTTTACCACTTTTAGGACAAACAGTAAAATGCCTAATTAAATGTAATATTACAATGATTATAGACATAGAGAATATACAGTATGTATTCAAGCATACACAGAATACGTTTTTCCATCCTCGATGGCCCAATTCAATTTGGATGGCCGTCTAAAAACAGATCTCTGCCTCCAATGGGCCAAAGTCTACTGAGCAGTTCACTAAGGATGGGAGGCCAGTGGTTCATGATGGACTAAGATAGAGGGGGGGGGGGGCACTTCAGCTGTTGGGAGGGAATGGTGGTTGCAAGGTTATAGGTTGAGTTTGGTGATTGAGGAGATGCTAGGTGGCTGTAAATGGGCCTGGAGGAGAAGGTGGGGGAGAGACCTTGTGGAGCGGTAGTGGGGGAGTCCAAGCTCACCTCGTCCCCCTCCTCTGAGTCCCACACCTCGCTCTGCAGGTAGTCTGCGAACAGCGCCTTGGCCCGCTGAAGCACCCGGCTCAGGTTGTGGCGCCGCACCAGGCGGTCGAAGTGCATGGCCAGCTCGTTGTAGTCAAAGTTGTTCTTGATGATGTGGTCTCGGTGCTCCAGCAAGATGGACAGGGACAGGAAGAGCATGAAGGGGTTTCCTTTGCCAAACTCCTGGGGGGGCGGCAGGGAACATGGTTTGATGCTGGTGGTCTCGGATTTTGATGAAGTGCTCATGTTAGCTGTATTGCTGGGGGATTTGTTGCCCGGTGAAGGGAGATTGTTGGAGGACGACCTGTTGGGGGAGGAGCCTCTCCCAAAGAACAGAGTGGGCGAAGAGAGCAGAAAGCGGTTGTGAGCGTGGGATGGAGACGCGTTTTTTAAAGTGGGCGTGGAGGGGGACATAACCTCTGTGCTGCTGAGCACCTGGGCGGAGGAGGTGAGTACTTTAGTGAGAGTTCTAGTTAAACTCTTACTCCCATTGGTTGTGGAGTTTGGAGGAGAGTCTGGAGAAGCACCTGGCCAACTGGAGGGAGAAACTGGAGACGTGAGAGGGGCTGAGGGGCCGGTTTTCCACATTTGCAGGCCACTAGGAAAGAGAGGAGGTGATGATTCTGGAGAGGAACAGTTTTTTATGAGGGGAGTTTTCTCTCCTGGGTCGTCCTCACTCTCCACTGTGGACTGGCGCCTTGGGTTGCTTGTTACTGAGTCTGAAGACCCCAAACCCTGCTCACCATCCTCCATATGAAAGCTATCTTCATTTCGGGCAGTATAGTATTTAAACTCCCCGAAGCTAGTTTGCCTTTCCAGAGCTGGAGCCTGCGAATCTGCTTTTTCCTTTGTCACTGGAGAAATATCACACTCATTGTCCTTGCTTTCCTTTCCTTTTTGACTTCCTTGTTCTGCTATGACAGCATCTCTGCTCACATCTTCTTCTCGTGAAGGCCTCAGCATATGCCGTCTACATTGCTTCTCTTTTCGTTCCCCATCATCTCCCAGGCAGATCTGCACCCTCTTCTCCTTGTCTCTGCAGGACATCTCTACATTGACATTGGTTTCCACAGGTGGTCCAATAAGCTCCACTTCGGTTTCAGGAGGATCCGGGGGCAGGGAACTCCAGGTCACCTCCAGCATCCTCAAAGCGTCCTCAAATGCAAACTCTCGCTTGAGCTCCAGGAGCAGCCAGCGGTAACAGAAGAACAGGTCGTCAGCCCCCCTGGAAACCAGGTACGAGTAGAACTCAGGATCCGAGTACTGAAGGAGCAATTTGAGGTGCTGGAACTTCACAGACATGAGCTTCCCATCAGGCCGGAAGTTTCCTTCCAAGCGTTTCATGATGCCACAGAAGCAAATGAACGCATGTGCCTCATTGTCCATCACCGCAAGTATGGGGGAGGCAATATCACTCATGCCTTGACAGTATGATATCTGAAAAACAAAACAAGCACAACGTTACAGAATGTCTACAATTCTATCATATACAATGCTGCATGATTTTATTCATAAAAACTTTAATTAAAACTAAGAAAGAAAGTAAAAAAGTATTTTTAACTCAAAGATAGACACCTTCCTATGCTTGAAAATATGTATACATTTAAAACCACCTCTGAAAACGACGACAATCAAACCTCTATGATCCATTAATGTGTGTGGGAGAGAAACTCCCTCTGGAGGGAACACAGGGATTTTAGCATGCACAGAAACCTATAGAACACTACAGGAGAGGGAACACCCCAAAAAGGACGATAGGGCCTCTTTAACATACAGTTACATGTTAACTGTCAAATACGTATTAACGATAGATTTTATACTGATTTTCCTTAATACGTCATTTACATTTTATTTGGGAAACAAGGTAGTCGTGTCCTTCAGAGTCAATGATACCATGCCTTGTCATTGATTGGATTTTTGTTATAATTATCATATCTCACATACTCCTGTATTAATATAATAATTTAATGGAAACTTATATAGAGCTTTTATTGATGTAATCCAATCTATTCTAGTAATTTCCACTACACGGCCAATCTTGGTTTTATTAACTTCTTCTATTACTAAAAAAAATAAAGAAAATGTTCCGTGTACTGCAGTGAAGCGAGACATGACATGGCTTAATACTTTGGGTGACGTTACTGGATTCACATGGCAGGGTAAAACACACAAACAACCAAATAAGAAGTGTTATATTTATGTGTGGGGCTTACTGAGTGTCAGTTATAACTCAGCGATGTGGAATGTGTGTTACATCTAAAACTACTGACCAGAGGCCTGTACTACGAAGTAGGGATGGGAACGATTAATTGAATATTCTAAATTATTCAAGTATTTGAATATGATTTTTTTTTTTTTTTTTTGGGAGGGATGCCTAAGTTGATTACCATAATTTTTGGACTATAAGCCGCGCCTTTTTCCCTATTTTTCGACGCTGCGGCTTATATAACGGTGCGGCTAATCTATGGAAGAGTTAAAGGTGTTGGCCGTTAGCTGTAAAAATCCATAGATTAGCCGCACCGTTATATAAGCCGCAGCGTCGAAAAATAGGGAAAAAGGCGCGGCTTATAGTCCAAAAATTATGGTAATCAACTTAGGCATCNGGGGGGGGGGAAGACCATGTATGAGTTTTAATGTATGTGTCTATATGTGTGTGCATGTGGAACCCCTCTTTAACCTCAGGGCTCATATCTGGTAACCCTCGATAAGAGCAGTGTCACACCCGTGCCCTGGAAATAATACACATCTACATTGCTCACACGACAATCACACATGAAAAATAAAATATAGTTTGGAATAAATACAAGAAGACCAGATTGTGACCAGTGGCGAGAAACATTGGGGGGCAGTACACAGTATTTATGTTAGCTTGCCTTATGTCCTCTTGTGCCGGAGGCGAGCTGTGGCGCTGACTATTAAATACATAACACAACACAAATGGCTCTGGCCTTTGTTGTACGCCTGCTGAACTACAGAGCTGTCTGGAGGACGAAGACGATCTGTGAGAAAGGCAACAGGCAGCAGCGTGTATAAACATGGGAAAGTGTGTGTGAATGTGCAGTGGAATATAATCATGCTCCAGTGCCTATGGAACTCAATCATGCGTGCAATGTGTTTTTATGAATTAATAAAGCTGACTTTTGAGGCAAAGCGGGGAGAGAGAGAGGAGGCTGGAGGAGCGACAGCGGGAAGGAGCAATACAAAAAATAAAAGTAACAAAAAGAGATGAGGGGAGGACAAACAGAGAGAAAAGGAGAGCAAGACAGACTGTTGTTTTTTTTCTCAGCGAATAAATCAGCAAGCTAGCCCCTCGGCCAGGCAGGCAGTCAGTCAGCAAAACAGAAATCTAGCCTGCACAGCACCCTGTGCAATACTGCGTGCCACACACACACACACACACACACACACACACACACACACACACACACACACACACACACACACACACACACACACGGACACACGGACACACACACGCCCTGTCGGTCCAGATGACTATCATTACCCAGGTAAATACATCTGGCCTTAGGAGCCAGGCACACTCATCGCTTCTCTCTCTGGTGATTTGATTTTTCTCCCTAACCTTTTTCACGCTCCACCTCCTGCCCATTACTTTGCTCCCCCACCCCGTATGCAGACACACACTTTGCACAAATACGAGAGAGAGGGAGGCAGAGCGAGAGATGAAGGTTGGCCACGCTGCACAGATTCACCTGCCTCATCAAATGAGCAATTATTTCAGCACCATCATATTTAAAATGTGCTGCAGCAAAAGGCACTTAGAGAGGTCAATGCTTTTGGTTGAGTCATTGTCCTAAACACACAGACAAGCAACTGCACTTTCCCTCCCTCTGTGCTTCTTTTGCTACCCTCTATCTTCTGTTGTCTATTTCTATCACTTACAGCTCAATGTATTTTGTTTTTATCCCTCTATCTCCTCCTCCCTATAAGCCCCCTCTCTGTTTGACAATCTCTCCTTCGCTCTCCCTCTCTCCCGGGGGGTCTGCTCCACAGATGAGTCCTCTAGTTACAACATCACTCATTGATTTAAGAACTGCCACAGGCATTGATCTGAAACAGCCATGCTCCTAGGTGCAAAAAAAGTCATTTCTGCTTGCTAGGTTGCTAATGACATGATGAAATGCCCCCTGCCACCCCGGCACATCCACAGATTCAGTCCATGAATCAGTTGTGTTCAGTACTTCTTCAATGTTTACACACTAACTGGGTGTATTAACCAACAGCAGTGTGATGTTTCCAATTCATGCCATCACTGGATCTAAGCATCAGTGTGACTCCTTATATTTTAAATGTGAAGAGGCAATTAAATAATCAGCGGTTTACATGATGCAATTTAGCACCCAACAACAAATAACACTGCTATGTTGTTGTTTTGGCAAGATGGAAAGTATTTCAAAGCGGCAGTTTGAATCGTGAGTAGGTGGTGTTTGTGTTTTGTGTGTTTTGAAGGCCAGAAATCAAGTGTGAAGAAATCAAGTGTGAAGTAATCTGAGGCTCATTAGCAGAGATAAACCACTGTTTCCTCCCCTCACTTTGCTAAAATGTTTACTTTGTAACGGTTGCTTTTTTGTTTCAAACTCATCCTGTAAACTTTTAGGTGTTTTTCAATCCAAGCTGTTATGCTGAAATGCCGTGAAAATAAACAGGATTAATGTTCAAAGGGTTGTAGACCAACAAGTTTAAGAAAATGTGCTTTAAAAAAAAAAAAATTTGATACGGTGACATGTGCACTTTAATAAAAATGCTATATACTTGCATACCTAATGATCTCTTTCTGTAAGGGAAGTTTACAGTCTTTAAGGACGAACACATGGCACTTTGTCTTACTGCAGCCTTTTCTCTTTCATTTGATAGATGTCTAAGATATTTCATTTTTTACGTATATTACACAAAAGACATTGAAGAGTAGTCATGCATATTTGCCAGGTTTGAATAGTGTAATGAAAATACATACTGTCCTTCAGTCTGGTTAGCTGCTCCATTTAGCACAAAGATTCTCATTGTAGTCAAGACCTATTTCAAAGCTACCTCAGTGAAATAAATGTATGACTTTTCACATGTACTTGGCTACCGATCCAATGGACTGGTGTGTCAGGGCCTTTATGTCGCAAATTACGATACAAATATTTGTTCATTTAGTTTTTCAGCACTAAACTACTGTATCTACAACATGTTGTCAACCACCTTACATGAACCAGACTAATTATGAAAAAAAGATGTGTAGAGAGTAAATGTTCAGCCTAAATGGAAGGGCACTGTGTAGACATGCATTAAGCAGTAACACATAGAAGAACTCTGAGGAGAGAATCAGCGCCAGAACATTAAAATGTTTTCTGTTGTAGATAGATAAAATGATTTTGTGGACTATAACACTTTAATTAGCTGACCACTAGTACTACTGCTTATTTCACTGTTAAGCGCTTTTTTTTGAACATCTCTGTCCACAGCAGTGTCTGGTAGATACTGTATGGATTCAAATACAGGTCAATAAGCCATGCCATTAGACCCGGCGCCAGAACAAATCTACAGAGAGGGCATATGATTTTCATGGGAGGGCACATAACCGTCATGTGCTGCGGCCAGTGTCGACGCCAGAGATTTTCTTTTGGGGGTGCTGTGGGCTAGCTTGACGTTTTCATAGTGGGGTGCTCAAACATGTAAGGTTTCCCATCAAGGTACCAGGCGCTACAGTTTAATTTTTAACTGCAACACCACTATAGTAATAGCAACCATGGAAGCAGGGTTTCCGTTAGCCGGTAATTACTGGTTTTTATCTGGTAAAATTGGATAAAAACCGGTAAATTCAAAACCTGCCGGTCAAAATGTCCGATGCTCCGATCGATTGGCCGCCGATCATTATCGGCCGATATTCACTCTTAATAGTTTGATCTGTGCTCTCTATAAAGGCCGATCAGTAGAGCTGGATCTGATCGATATGGACATAAACGCGAGTGAAGTATAACCGGACGCGAGAGAGAGAGAGATCAGCACCTGCAGCTCTGCCCGCTGTGAGGGACCGGTGAGTGGAGCAAAACACACCTTTAGACGTCACCTAACACATTTAGCTATGGCACTTTCGTATACATTGAATTATTCAATTTGATAATATGTACCATAATTTTCGGAATATAAGGCGCACCTGAATATAAGCCGCAGCAGCGGCATACCACTCTCGGTTTCACTTTTACTTTTGCGCGCTACCTGTCTCACTCTTT